AGAACAGAATTAAGGAACCATTTGCAAACAAATACCACGAATATCTACTAGAGAGCTAAAAAGGTGCCCAGATAGCGCCATGGGTTAGGTGATGGTCTGCTTAACTGTCAGGTTGGCAGTTCAAACCCACCAACTACTCCACCAGAGAGAGATGTGGCTGGTTATAAAGATTTACAGTCTCAGAAACCCTAGGTTGGCATTGGGTTTCTGGGTTGATTGGAGACCTAAAAGAGCTCCTCCACCTAAGTCCGTGGTTAGATCTTTGTTTCACAGGTTTTTAAATACCTGTCTAAATAGCTCAGGATTTTCCAGCCCAACATACTGCATTCCTTCAGTTACTAAGGAACATTTAATGTTCCTTTGAGCCACCATGCCAGTTAATGCAGTACATACAAACAGGGATTCTGGCTTATGGTCTTAGTTCCTGAATTCCTCTGCTAGGATGACGTATTTTCTCCTTTTACTACTGCTTCGTAAGTCAAGCCTTCACTCCAGTTAGAGAAACACATGAACTACATTGCCATGTGGCCTTAAATAATGTCCTTTCTGGTCCAATGTAGTTGGAATCTGACATTCCATTCAGGTGGGATTTTGTCAAATAGAATTACCCAGCAGCAAAGTGTTCTATAGTTAGTAGCCATTGAGAGAACATGTCCATATATTACAGCTTATATACAATTTCTAAGGGTTGTATCCCCCCCCAAAATAAACCAACTTAATTGCCATCGATCAATCTGCCTCACAGTGAACCTATTAACAATGCAGCGTAGGACTGCCCCTCTGGGTCCAAGGGTGTAAAGCTACACGGGAGCAGAAAGCTCCACCTTTCTCCCTCAGAGCAGCCCAACATGTAACCACTCTCCCATCAAGGCTCCTGCTGACAATCCCTGCCATATAGAATGTTTTAGCAGCCTGAGAAATAGCTGCCTATCCTCTACACACAACCCCAACTTTACCCAGTTACAGTGGGATGTGCTCTGAAACAACTCGACACCCTGCCCCTGTATTAAAGAAGAGAAGGTTTCATCTCACCTGAGCCCCTGCCAGGATGGCCTTCTCGTAGATAGCAATAATGTTTTCAATCGGACTTGTGATTGGTTCTAGACGTGCAAGGCACACCCAATACTTAACAAGTTTCGTGGCATCTGGAATATTTTTAATCAGGTCATTGAGTGTGACCAATATTTCTTCTTTGGGACATTCCTGAAAGAGTAAGAAATAAAGTGGCAGATATTTTTAGCATGTATACATTATGATTAGTTAATACTTACGCGTATTCAAGGCCAACTGTGTCATTACCATCCTCCTTATTCCACACTTACTATGGCTGGTTAGCAAGAAGCCCATGGGCCATGAGCATTCCACAGAAGAAAATGAGTTAGTAAAAAGTGATTAGCACTTTACATGGTTTCAATGCTTATCTACCAGAGTACTCTGAGATTCCCACTTCATTTAGAATTTTTGCACCTACCATACCTTTATGAAGAAGGACGATGTGTAGTATTTTTCAGGTGTGACTGACATTAAGGCTAAAATGAACCTAAATGGGCTCAGTACAATAACTTGTTGTTAGTTGTTACAGAGTCATGTAAGCCTCAGAAGTCTCCCATGGGACAGAGAACTGTTGCCCGGGGTTTTCTTGGGTGTTCTCTTGTACAGAAGTAGATGCCAGGCCTTTCCCCGTGGAGGCACTGAGCAGGTATCAAGCAGCAGCCATTGACTGCTTCACTTTCAAGCCACCAGGGCTCCTTCTGTAACAGGAGGGCAATAAATTCCACAGTCGCAAAACAAACCTCAATTGATCAGACGTGAGAATGGTTTCCCTGACTAACTTTCAGTGGCCCTCAGAACCACAGAAAGTTTAAAGATGCACATGAACATGAAAGAAAGGCTTGAAGCGGGCCTTTGAACCAGTCAGTCGCGGCCGATGAAGGGGAGCCAGCAGAGATCTGACTTGAAAATGTGGATGAACAGGAATGGTACCTGGACTGGAGGCTTGCTCTGGAGGCACAGTGAGTTCCTCGGGAGCCTGGATTACTGGCAAAACTGCAGAAAGCAGCACACATTTAAAGCAGCGCTTTTCAGATGGTACCCGGCTATTAAAAGATATAGCATCTGGGATTTTAAAAGTTTGAAGCCAAACAAGTGGCCATCTAACAGGAAACAACAAAGCCCACATAGAAGTACACCAGCCTGTGTGATCATGAGGTGTCTACGGGAACAGGCATCAGAAGTTCAAAATTAATAATTTCATCAAGGTGATGGAAAGGGGTCAAAGTAGAGACTCAGAGCCCACTCATGGATAATTGTACATTCCTGCACCTAGGGGCTGCACGGAAGAGAAAATACATCCAGGGAGCAGTATAACACTGACACTCCTCTAGTTATTTAATCTTTCCTCCCCCCACTATTAGGATCTCATTCTCGAAAATCCTGCTAGACTGGTGTACATATTGCACACAGATGAGAGCTTTCATATACTGAACTCAGGATAGCAAATGCCCTCAGAAACAGAAATGGGAGTATCGATTCCAGGAGGGTAGAGGAAGAGAAGGGGGGGAGGGGGAACAGATAGCAATGATGGCAAAATAACCACCTTCAAGGGAGACAAATACCAGGATAGCAGGTGAAGGGATAGAATGGGTGGTGCAATATATGTATAAATAATAATAACAATACATAATCTATTAGGGGTTCACGGGGGTGGCAGAGTTGGGGAGGGAAAAAAAAGAGGAGCTGATATCAAAGAACTCAAGAAGATAATGTTTAGAAATTGTTGATGCCAGCAAGCGTACATGTCCATTTGATATAATGGATTGTTATAAGGAGTTATTAAATAAACAAATAAGGCAACACTTTTGGCTGCCACCTTTGAGTCTGTCATCACTATTTCGTTATGGAGTGCATGTATTGCCCTGGCGGGAGGTTCTGTGTCTAGGAAGACAGTGACCCCTACATTCTTTCCACTCCAATTCACCCTATTTAAGAAGCTGGGTCTGTCCCAGTGTTGCTTCCTTGACCATGACTGAACTGGGCTGACCAGATACAAAGTCTCGGTCTGAAATGAGACCTTGTTCAGGCTTGCTCTGGCCCTTCAACAATAATAGGCCAGAAAAGCAAGATTAAGATAATTGAGATATGAAGAAGATATTTTGGAATTGATTTTAATACTCCCTAGGAATTTTGTTCAAATATCAAAATTATACAATAAATTTAAAACCATGACGGTGTTTACATTAATGGGATTAGATTACAAATGTTTGAGTTAACTTTAATCTATAGTAACAGTTCAATAATTTATGTAGTTAGTCATTGGTAAAACATGAAATTAAAAAATAATTTATAAACATGTTTAAATGACTGTAAGAAACAGAAGTATAGGGAATTGAAAAGCAATTAATATCTACTCCAAATTAACATCTTAGAAGAATATTTAAAGCTTAAAAATAAAAAGTAATGAAATTTTCCCACAAATTGTTTTGAAGTCCCCTTTATAGTTCTATGAGCTTAGTACAAAATGCAGCCAGTGAGTCGGCAGAGGAACCACCTCACAATTAACAACCCAAAACATTGACCTAACTTAGTCAAAAAGACTGGCAGTGCAATTTACAGAGATGTTTCCACGGATCATCTACACACTATAAAATGCTACAAAGATAGAAGACAATCACCAGATACCTCACTAATCAGGTTCAGGCACTCAGAAAACGTCTTGTTTACTTTCTCAGTGAACAGTCTTTGCTCGTCTTCTTCGGCCATGGTCGTCCAGAAGGACCCCACTGGGTTTCCATTCTGCCCCTCAGGCTCGGGCTGCGTCACCACGGAGCTCGGAGGCTTCTTCAGCACCCTGCCTTTGTCGGCTTTCCACTCAGTCAGACGGGCTCTACAGTCAGAAGCAGGGTATACACAGGACTGTGACTCAGGAGCCCTTGTGGCATAGTGGTTATGAGCTGGGCTGCTAACTGTGAGGTCAGCAGTTCAAAATCACCCTCCAGCTCCTCAGAAGAAAGACAAGACTTTCTACTTTCAGAAAGAGTTAAAGCCTCAGACCTGAATTTGCTCTAGGCTCACTTGTTCCACAACAGAAATTTATTCTCTGGTTTTAAAAATATTGTTGGTGGTTTTAAATCTTTCTGTTTACTTATTTTAAATCTTTATATTATGGTTGTCTTCTTTGTTTCATTTTTTCTGTTAGAGTTTCACAGTTTACGAAGCACAGAAGGAATTAATGCAATGGTTTATCGGGAGCAGGGTGGGGAGCGTAAGGGAAATAGGGGAGCAATCAAGAATGTGGGAGGGGGAGGGAACATTAGAACTGATTATCATGATGTAGCTACAACTTAAAAAAAAAAATCATTTTATTGGGGGCTCATACAACTCATCACAATCCATACACACATCCATTGTGTCAAGCCCATTTGTTGCCATCATCATTCTCACATGTGCTTTCTATTTGAGCCCTTGGTATGAGCTCATTTTTCCCCCTCCCTCATAAACCCTTGATAATTTATAAATTATCATTTTGTCATATCTTATACTGTACAACATCTCCCTTCACCCACTTTTCTGTTGTCCGTCCCCCAAGGAGGAGGTTATATGTAGATCCTTGTCATCGGTTCCCCCTTTCCACCCCACCCTCCCTCCACCCTTCTGGTATCACCATTCTCACCACTGGTCCTGTGTTTCCAGTTCCTATCTGTACCAGTGTACACACTGTGGTCTAGCCAGATTTGTAAGGTAGAATTGGGATCATGATAGTGGGTGGGTGGGGGAAAGCATTTAGGAACTAGAGGAAAGTTGTATGTTTCATTGTTGCTATGCTGCACCCTGACTGGCTTGTCTCCTCCCTGCAACCCCTCTGTAAGGGGATGTCCAATTGACTACACATGGGTCTTGGTTCCCCAAATCGCACCCCCCCTCATTCATAATGATTTGGTTTTTTGTTCTTTGATGCCTGATAACTGATCCCTTCGGCATCTCGTGATCACACAGGCTGGTGTGCTTCTTCCATGTGGGCTTTGTTGCTTCTGAGCTAGATGACCGCTTGTTTACCTTCAAGTCTTTCAGACCCTAAACACTATATCTTTTGAGAGCCAGGCTCCATCAGCTTCCTTCATCACATTTGCTTATACACCTGCTTTGTCTTCAGTGATCGTGTCAGGAAAGGTAAGCATTATGGAATGGCAGTTTAAAAGAACAAAGTATTCTTGCATTGAGGGAGTACTTGAGTGGAGGCCCAATGTCGACCTGCTACCTTAATACTAAACCTATAAATATATGCACATAGATATAGTTCCCCATTATCATATATAAATATATTTACATATGGGCATGCCTGTATTTAGACCTCTATAAATGCCCTTTGCCTCCTAGCTCTTTCCTCTGTTTCCTTTCATTTCCTCTTGTCCCACTATCATGCTCAGCCTTCATTTGGGTTTCAGTCATTCTAGACATTTACTTTCTATTGAGCCCTTGGGGCCAGCTTTTTTTTTTCCATCCCCGCTTCACCCCCCATATAACTCTTTTTCAAAGCAATTTAACTATGGGAGTGTATATGAGTATTATATCAAGAAAACTATTAAAAAACCCAAATTTGACCAATGGTTACTTACCATGAGTGAAGGAGGAAGAATTTTTGCTATGGGGTCTTTGAGTTAATTTTAACAGTGGTGGAACAATTTGGAGAGGGATAACAATAACGGTTATACAACACCAAGAGTATAATCAATGGTCCTGAATTATACATATGAAAGTGGTTGAATGGCAGAATGTTTTGTTGTGTATATTTTTGCCACAATTGAAAACAATAGTTACATGAATAACAAGGAGTACAAGGAAGAAGAAAATGTTCTACTATCTTGGTAATGATTGTAAACTCTACTTGATACGATTCAATTATTGAATTGTATGTGGATGAAGTGACACCCCCCCCCAAATTAAGTGTAATAAAGTTAAAATTTAACACTTTATCATTTGATTTCCCTTCTAGTTTCTAGTATTTTCTTTCTTCTATTGAGGTTTTTATCTTTTACTTTGTTATTCTTTTGATGTTGTTTAAAAAAAATGTTTTTCTGTATATTAAATCCAAGATAGGCAAATCTATAGAGACAGTAACTAGATTAATGGTTCCTTGGGGGGAGGTAGGTGTGTCAGGGGAGGTTGGGGGTAAATGAAGAACTAATAATGATGAGTATAAGAATGAAGAAAATGTTCTACATTTGATTATATTGATGATTGTACAACTCTTTCTTGATGTGATCGAACTATAAATTGTCTGGATGTGTGAATTATATGCCAATAAAACAGTTTAAAAATAAAAAAATAAAAAGAGTTACAGTCTCGGAAACTCACAAGGGCAGTTCTCCTGTCTTATGGGATCACTAAGAGTCATATTGATTCGATGGCAGTGAGTTTTTATGAGTATGATGCTAAAGATAAAGCTAAAAAATAATTCAGGTCAATAAGTAATTTGACCCTAGTAGCACATTAGTTCACAAATCTGAAGAAAAAGAAACATTGAACACATCGAAGTCAATGGCAGGCACAAAGACCCACATAGAATGCCCTTTTACATGGAGAGTTTATAAAGCATTCCCCAATTTGTATTAGGTGCTTTAACCTAGATGATAATGTGAAGTCCACTCAATGTTGTCTGCAAAGGCCAGAAGAGCAGGCACAAGAAAATCCTAAAGCTTTCACGGAAAAGGCAAACCAAATTTACAAGACAGCGCTGTTGAAAAGTCAGGTGATCAAATGACATCTACTCACCTCCTCTGCTCTGCAGTTTCTGTGGGCTGAGCTGGTTTACTATTGGCACTGGTCTTCGCTACTATAGTATGTCTTCGCTGGTTGGTGGGTTTTGACTTTTCCAACAGTTTGACCTTAGAAGAGGAGGCAGGCCTGGCTAGGATGTCACATGCTGCGTTTCTTGAGGATGCCTGGTTTCTTCTCATGTCCTGAGAAGCACTGGGTCTGACACTAGACAGATGGGGTTTCACCTGAGCTAATTCTGTATTTCCAGGCCCCTTCCGAACGGTAACACTGGCGGAGGTTCTACTGATGCCTTGCTCCCCCCTGTCCTGCGTGTTAGCGTGGTGGCTTCTGATAGGAGGCCGCAG